CTATCTGCTTTTGGCCAGAGGATGAACCTACGAACCCGTCTATTTGCATGTGTCCATAAGCATGGAACATAATGAAGCATGAGAGAAACCTGCACCTGGCTGAGCCGAGATTATATATTACATATATATTATTTCTTTTCCGCATCGTTGAAAGAAGGAGAGTCACTGGTTACAAACGATTAACATGGAGTGAAGTATTTTTCCATCCCAAGTTAGCAGTGTGCAATGAGATAACTTTCTCCGTATTGTCTCTTGAGTTGCAAGTGGCTCTTTAGAAGTAACACATATTGATCGATCTATCAATCTATAGCACTATTTGGATAGGTGCAGCTAAGGTGTGCGGAAATCAAAACTTTAATTAACAGACGGCAGATTTAGCACAACTAAGGGTGCTGATATGCTTAGGACTGAAACTACAGTGGTACCTCGGGTTACATACGCTTCAGGTTACAGACTCCGCTAACCTAGAAATAGCGCTTCAGGTTAAGAACTTTGCTTCAGGATAAGAACAGAAATCGGGCTCCGGCGGTGCGGCAGCAGCAGGAGGCCCCATTAGCTAAAGTGGGTGCTTTCAGGTTAAGAACAGTTTCAGGTTAAGTACGGACCTCCAGAACGAATTAAGTACTTAACCCAAGGTACCATTTGTACTGGTCTTTCACCCCATCTCAGAGGGGGACATCACTCAGACTTCAGGTTTAAAAGAATATACCTCTGGGTACCAGCTGCTGGGAGCATCAGTGGGAAAGCGGGCTGCTGTTTCCATGCTTTGCTTGTGATCATCCACAACCACCTGGTTGCCACTTTGGAGGACAGAATCTTGGTGAGATGGGCCATTAGTCTGATCTAGAAGAGTTTTTTTCACCTCATATACACAAGTAGGAATTGTAACATCCATAGAGTATTGGTAGAATTTATGAAGGTAAAAAATGACCCCTGGACAGTTAAGTCCAGTCAAAGGTGACTATGGGGTGTGGCGCTTATTTCTGGCGCAATGGAACACCGTGATGGAAGCCAGAGCGCATGGAAGTGCCGTCCCGACTCAGCAGTACCTATTGATCTACTTGCACTGGTGTGCTTTCGAACTGCTAGGTTGGCAGGAGCTGGGACAGAGCAGCAGTTTATAACTCCTGTTGTGCAGATAGTGTCTCCTTCCATTCATTTTGACATCACACTTGGGAGCAAGGCTCTACACTTTCCTTAGGGACATTTCACCATCAGACACAGTGACAAACCTGGTATTATCTAGTGCAGTTCAGCAGGGAGCTACCATTAATCCTGGCTCCCTGATGAGTGCGCTTGTCTTCACATGTTTTTAAATATATGTTCGTTGCATTCACACATTCTGTTTTTAGCTGTGCTCATGAGACATTTTCGTTAAAAGAGTACTGTACAATGGTACCTTGGTTCTCAAACTTAATCCGTTCCGGAAGTCCGTTCCAAAACCAAAGCGTTCCAAAACCAAGGCACGCTTTCCCATAGAAAGTAATGCAAAATGGATTAATTTGTTCCAGACTTTTAAAATCAACCCCTAAAACAGCAATTTAACATGACTTTTACTATCTAATGAGACCATTGATCCATAACATGAAAGCAATAAACAAAGTACTGCAGTCACACAATCAATCAATCAGTAGCTGAACTGGGTTCCACACAGTCACAAAAACAAAACAAAAAGAGCAGCGTAAACAAAACCGCAAAATAAATAGCAAAAACAGACAGACCTCAGAGTAATACCCAAAATGGTTGTGTGGCACTCAAATCGGAAGTGTAACACTCAAAATGGAGCAAGTTCAGCTTCTGAAAAAAGTTTGCAAACCAGAACACTTACTTCTGGGTTTGCAGTGTTTGGGTTCCAAGTTGTTTAAGTACCAAGGTGTTTGAGAACCAAGGTACCACTGTAATATGTGAATGTTTCCTTAGACTGGAGCTTGAAGCTCCTGCTTTGAAACAGTTGTGCAGTTTCCAGAGGGGAGCAGAGAAGGTGGTCACTCTCCATTTCTCTTCTTTGAGTAAGTGAGATGCATTCTTAACCCCACCACCCAAAATAATCCACTTCATTGATGTGGGGATACCTGATCACATACTGAAAAGACAATGTATATAGGCACAAGATCACACATTGGCTTTGATGCAACTAAATCACAGTTCATAATTGATTTATGGTTCTGTTCATGCTGTGTTTGTAAATAAATGCCATTAGATAGGGGTGTTCCATTTAGACCCCACACTCATGACTTTCATCTTCCTACCTCTTAGATGCATTTATTTTGTTTTCCTGCTTTATTGGAGAAAGAATACTAGATGTATGGTTTCTCACAAAAGAACATAACTCGTGACCCGCTGACCAGAACTTTTTTGAAAGGATATGTTCCTGTTGATCCACAAAATGTAGCAACTATTGGACTTTTACAAGGGAATGTGCACAACGCCTGTGTGGTGAACATCAAAAAAATATGGAACAAGCTCTTACATTGGTCTTGTCAGCATTCACTTATGTGTTGCTCTGTAATTCGCAACACCCACTGGATATATGAAGAATTTTCAGTGCCCAAATCCATGCAACTTAATGGGCCTCCTTTTGGTGGAAGAGGATGCCCTGCCCATTACACCATGCTGTGCTCCTCATTTTGATGGTTGATTGCGCAGAGGCGCCACTTGTGTCATTCCTCTCACTCAAAAAAAGAAAAGAGCTTTTATGTGTCAGCACTGAGCACCCAACTCATATGCATGGGGAAGGGTGGGGAGGCACACAGCTCTGAAAAAACACAGAAGCCCAGTGAGTTGTGCAAACTGGTGAGTTCCCTTGTGATTATTTACAGCAGGGGTGGTGTCAGGAATGAGCCAGCTCCAAGTGAAGGTTTGCAGCCAACAGCAGAAAGCAGCCAGGAACAGAGAGGCTTAGATGTTAGTCAGGCAGGGGAGAGACGGCAGCTGCAGACTTTGGATCTTCCTGACCTTAATGGGCCGGCTGATAAGGCAGTAGCTGAGAGCGGGCTGGAACACAGCCAAAGCTCTCAGGGAGCTCAAACAGGAGCGAACAGACACAGAGAGAGTCTCTCGGAAAAGGAGGAGGATGGAGATGATCCAATAAGTCCGAGGAGTCAGCGAATGGGAGGGCTGCTAGACAGGAAGCAAAACAAGAGACATAAGGTGCGAAAGTTTAATATATTCTATAGACACCGGAAGGAGTCTTCAGAAGGGTCATCTTGAGTAATGATGCCAGAGGCTTTGTTAGAGCTGTCTGGAGCTATCTGTTTTTGCAATAAATCCTCCTTTTTAATTACATATGCTTACTGTGTTATCAAGCTGGGAACCTGGACTCCTGACAGGTGGGAAACATTCGGCCCATGGACCAATTTGGGACCGTCATGGGGTCTACTTGGGCCCATGAGACCATTTCCCCAAAATGACTCCCACCTGTTGATAATCATAAATAATAAATTTATTCTTTATACCCCACCCATCTGTCTGGGTTTCCCCAGCCACTCTGGGAATATGCCACTCAATCAGCTGACATCACTCACTGAGTGACATTAACCGATGGGTGGGGTTCAATCCTGCTTCACCAGTGTGTTCCCTGGTGGTGAGGACCCCTGCAGGGAGCAGGATTGAACCCTGCTGGGGGCTGCTTCACGAGTGCATTCCTTGGTGAAGCATCTCTGTCCCCTCAGCCCTGTGGGTCAGCCGACAGGTGGGCAGGGCCACCTACCTACCAGCCGCTTGATGTCATTGTGATGTCAGATGATTGACAGGTGAGCAGTTCATCCACTTGTCAAAGTTGGCCCGTGGAGTGTGGGGAGATCTGGCCCACCGGGCCACAAAGGTTCCTTACTCCTGGTTTCCAGTCTTCACATTCTAAACACCCCAAAACAGGTACAAATACAACTTTAACCCTTTCTCTACCAATTTAAGGCATCTTGGTTGGCTGTATGGTTGAAAATGGCCTTGTGTTTTGCCCCTTTCCTTGGTTTTCATGACAATGTGTAACCGAGAGAGCACCTTTTAATTTTGCAAAGTGCTTTACTATCTTTTTCTTCTTAACCCCCTCTTCCCCTCCCCCTGTCTGCATTTGAACTCATAACTCTCATTCATCTCTTTGTGCATGGAACTGTTGCCCACACTGCAGAACTGCATAAGAAGCCTTGTTTTAGTTCCTTTTCTGAAAACCAACTTGGTTCCAGACAAATTTAACGTACTTGTTTTTCTGCTCTTGTTTTCTTCTCTCTGTCACCTGCACACTTCTCGCATATTATGCAAGGGTAAAGTTGGCCAGGATTAATTAATGGTTCAGGGTTTATTTATTCAGCAAAATATATACACCACATAATGATAATGATAGTAATAAAAACTCTAAGCAGTTTATGCAAAATACCATGAGATACTCATTTAAAAATAGCAGGAAAAACAGAGTGAAAACAGTAGACATAATAAATGTTTCTTATATATATATCCCTTTTTTAAAAAAACCACGTACATAATAAAACCACATGTATGGATAGGATTTTTATTAAATATAAAAAGCAATGCAATGCCTGCCTAGTATAAATGACTATATTCTGGGGTAGAATGAAGTCTGTGACTGTGATATTAGGTGGGGCTGACACAATCTTTACTCAGAACTGCTGTATTGTAAAATATACTAGGAAACAGAACTGTCTGCGTTAAGCCATGTTTCCATTTGATCAGTGCCAAGAATTAGAAATATATGGTCCATTGTGTTGGTTGTTGGACTACAACTTCCATCAGCCCCAGTCACCACAGCTATTGCTCATGTTGTTCTCTTGCAGGAAGAGATATGGATATGGGGCAATTAAAAATGAGCTCCATGTTGTAGATTAATGTTAGAGAACTCTTGGGTTTGAGAAAGTTAATGGCTACTATCCAAGACAACAAGGCCATTGTCTGCAAAGTTCACCTCTGAGATCAGGAAAATAATAATAATAATAATAATAATAATAATAATAATAATAATAATAATTTACCCATTTAATACGGAAACAAGCAAACAAAAAAATTACAATTTGGGCATAGGCAGCTGCCCACATCTCAAGGACAGCTGAAACAAGTATCAGCTTTTGAGAATGTAATCTGGATTCAGAGATTTTGAAGCTCAAAAAGTCTCATTTAATCCAGAACCAATTTACGGTGCAATGGAGAGTTCAGATCTTGCAAACTGGAAACCTTAATTTATTATGTCGGTGTCAGTTTTTGGAAACCTGTAATTTTGTAAAATTTGTAAAATTTTGTAAAATTTGAACCTTCAAACCGATACCTTTTAACATGAATAAGTACTGCAGGACTCTTCAGAACTTTTTAGGCAGAGAAGAACAGAAATAATGTTCAGATTAAATATGTAGACAAAATCTATCCACAAGCAACTGCCCCAAAACATCCTAATTTATTTGATAATTAACAGGCTTGACACCAAATTCATCTCAAAGGGCAAGTTTACTATGCATAATATGCCGGATTAGAAGTGGAGCCACGTGTTTTGAACCAATATATATGTCACATACAGAAATAGAGATATGTTTTTGTGTCCAAGTTTATATTTAACTGCCTCCCTCTATTTAGGCAAACAGTTGTGTGATACTTATCAGTTAAGGGGAATACATTTCCTTTGCCCTACAGAGGAGTCAGAATAGAGCAGAGTTCTAGATCCTTGATTGTAGCTTACTAACTTCATGGCTTTTTCTGGGGTGGGGTTTGTGCTCCTGGTAGAGTTGACCAGATTGTTGGGAGAGGGCCGTCAATGACAGATAAGGACCGAACCAAAGGCCCAGGTGAAGGGGAGCCTCCTGAAGATCCAAGTATGATGGGCAGACTTGGAAAGGTGGAAAAACAGGTATGTTGAAAATTTGTAAATAATAATTTAAAAATCCATTAATGTGAATTTGTGGGGAAAGGTGGGGTGGAGGAAGCAAGCAAGCAAGCAAGCCTTATTGTGTCACCTCTCCCTCTTAAGAAGCTGAGTAGACTGGCCTCTGATGAAGGCAGCTCTGGGAAGGGAGGAGCTAAATGGCAATTGATCTAATAGAGAGGGAGCCTCTCTGTCTTATTTCTCCATCTGATTTTTCACCTCCCTCTTCCTTCCTATATGTCATGATGAATGCCCATCAAAGGAAAAAAAGGTTAAAAACTTATTACCCAAGGGTGAATCTAGGCAAATGCTGTTACCATGTACTTAGCTCTTGTATGAGCCAAGGTGCAGATGGAAGGCTTAAGCCAAAGAGGCATGATAAGGAAGCATATACATTGAGTGTGGGAAACCGTTAGCTGTCAAGATGTTGCTGATCTACAACTCCCACAACTGTCTCATCAAGCATGGTCAGTGGCTAAGGATGACTAGAGTTTCAGCCCAGCAACATCTGGATGGTCAAATGTTCCCCCACCTGGTATACATATTTGTGGTACTGGCATTGGTTTGGTTGCAGAATTTCATGTCTCCTTGGGGTGCAGTTGGCTATACATTTGTAAGAGAATTTGGTGTGTTTTTTTCATGGATCAGGGGATGACTTGTCTGCAAAATAACATTTTAAAGATTAAGTTTGGGGTGAATCCAAAGTTGCTTGGGTCTAAAATGTTGTGGGTGCCCATGCATTGGGTCCTGTGTGGCATTTTCCAGGTCCAGTCCATGGAGAAGAAGCTGGACTTCCTGGTCAACATCTACATGCAACGGATGGGGATCCCACCAAACGAAACAGAAGCCTACTTTGGGCCGAAGGAACCTGACCCAGCACCGCCCTACCACAGCCCAGAAGACAGCAGGGAGCACATTGACAAAAACGGTTGCATCATCAAGATCATTCGCTCCACGAGTTCGATGGGACAGAAGAATTTCTCTGCACCTCCTGCCACAACGGTGCCAAACAACTCATGCCCCCTTCCACTTCTTGGCAGACATATCAACGGCAAAGCCACGGGACTCCCCGGTTGGCGATGCTGGTTCTTTGGTGAGAATCCCACCTCCACCTTCTCACGAGCGCTCCTTCTCTGCCTACGGTGGTGGGAACAGGGCGCGCTGAGTACGCAAAGAACGAAGACATTACAGCTAAGCACCCAGAGAGTGCTCTGAGGGACAGCGACACCTCTATTTCTATCCCATCAGTGGACCACGAGGAACTGGAAGCGTTCCTTCAGTGGGTTCAGCATCTCACAGTCCAAAAGAAAATTGGACG